CCTTCACCCCTCCCCCCAAACCAACACAAAACCAAACCCCCCATCAGGCCATCCAGATGCAGCCCCCCCACGCCACCCAGTTCCAGCAGCACCTCCTAGCCGGCGACTGGGGCGCCGCGCTCGGCCTGCTGCCGCGGCTAGCACCCGACGCGGAGTCGCTGGCGGCCTGCCGCTTCCTGGTGCTGCAGCAGAAATATATAGAGGCCCTGGAGGCGAGAGACTTCAGGTGAGATCCGCGCTTCACCTTGGAAGGCGGGCGGGCGCATCGTGCCGCGTCAGCGGGCCGGCGGATGGGTGCGGCACGGCGGGCCGCCGGGACGGGCGGCTGGGGTGTTCCTGGCGTGCGGGTGAGTGCGGCCAAAGCGGCGGTGGGGCGTGCGTGGTGCTGCGGCGGTGGCAGCCAGTGCGGCAAACTGCTGCTGCTGCTGCTGCTGCTGCTGCTGCTGCTGCTGCTGCTGCTGCTGCTGCTGCTGCTGCTGCTGCTGCTGCTGCTGCTGCTGCTGCTGCTGCTGCTGCTGCTGCTGCTGCTGCCGCCGAAGCTGAGGCAGGGTGCGTTGGCTCTGGGCTTGGCCGGGGCTGATGTCGCGGTGGAGGCAGGGATATGGCGGCGAGGGGCACGTGCCGGGGCTCGGCAGTCGGCGCCCCCCGCGCTTGGCGTGCGCAGCGGGCTTTTCAGCGGCGGCCGCGCAGCTGCATCATCACTAGAGCCTGTCAGCGGTAGAAGGGCGCGGGGGGCGGCGTCGTTGGGGTGACGATCGGCCCTACCATTGACGAACGCCACCCTCACCACACCCCTCCTGCAACGTTCACCTCGCACCCGTCTTCCCGCCGCCGCCGCCCGGCCGCCCCGCGCCCCACCCCCCAGCACCGCGCTGTCGTGCCTGCGTGCTGAGCTGGCGCCGCTGGGCATCAATGAGCATCAGTTGCACCACCTGGCGGGTGAGTCATCATCACGTCACCGCGCAAAAGTGTGACGCAACCGCTGCGGTCAGCCGATCTTGCCAAGGCTGTCGGAATTGGTTAGCTCCGTTGTCCATTAACAATCAAACGGCCCAATTGGCGGAGCGTGGGGCTACGGGTCTGCGGGCCGTAAAGACAGCGGTCAGGGCAGCGGTCAGGCCGCGTCAGTGCTTAGCGGACGTCGAACGACAAACAGCGGCCTGCTTGCGGCGCTGCATGAACCGCTCAAAAGGGTTTTGCAAGGCTGAGCGCTTGATGGGTCAGGGTGCGTCCCCCAACCCCACACCCCCACCCACTTCACACCCCCTACCAC